CATTTTTTTTGTTACATCGCTTTGCAGACTCGTGCAAATCTGTGCTCTGACCACGATTGGAAAAAAAGTTTCATGGGAATAGTTGCCTTATGACTGTTGCCTTTGAGATTTCTTTAGAGACATGGGGAGCCAAAGAGGTTGCTGGAGAGATAACTGGCATAAAAATTAGGATCTAATCTTGGCTACCCTATGAGTAAGGGAAATACCAGAGCTCGTGAGAATTTTACCCGTATTTTTTCTACACTAAAAAAAAAAAAAAAAAATGGGAACCAGTTCCTTTGCCATCCAACAGAATGAGAATGGTCTCCCAAGATGCAGAAGAAAACTCTGGCGTGACATTCATCTTTTTTTCACTAGGCAAACTCCAAATGGCCAGCAGGCAAAGATTCCAGGAGGAATAATAGAGAGCAGCTGAGACCATGGACTTGAATGAAGCTCGGAGCCAGAAAGAAAGTCTTCATTTATTAATGTTGGTTCCACAAAGACTCGTCCAAGTCAAAGGGTCTCTGCTCCGCCAGGTTCCTGCCAAGTCTAATGAACCCTGTGCAACACTCAATTAGCCACAAAGGGCAAGTAGGAAATGAGTTGTCCGCAAAACAACCCAGATCTCCTTAAAAAGACACAAGCATAGCAGGAAATGACTGAACAAACCTGACTGGTAACTTACCTGGATGAGCAAACGCTGCATTTGTTTAACTTTTTACAAGCCTGAGAATTGCTCTGAAGAAGATCGGCTTCTCCTCCCTAAGAACTGATCCCATAAAGGAGAACACACCTATTCCGAAGCTTATTCCAATATCCATAATTCAATCACAGACTAGGAGTGAGGTTAACCACTGAAGAGATTAGCTTACAGAGCATGTGTGCCCCAGGTGGAACTATACTGGCCTAGCCAGACGCTGACCAGAATCATTTTCTCCCAAGGATGATGGAGAGGAGAGCAACAGGAAGTGTATGATTATATTAATAAACAGTGCAATGGGGAAGTTAAGATGTTGGGCTAGGACTGGAGAGATCTGGCTTCAAGCTTCCTCTCAGCCATGGAATCTCACTGACTGGGTGGCTTTGGGTCAGACACTCTCTCAGCCCAACCTATCTCAGAGGACTGCTGTGTGGAATAAAATGTAAGGAGATCTCCACATAAACTACTTTGAGGTTTTGGAGGTAAGGCGGTAGCAAAGCTTTAAAAAACTTGCTTTATACAACATCATAGTGCTTAGGGACACCTTAAAACATCGAATTGTAAGGGAATCCCTCAGATCCTGTCTAATGTAAGGACCCACTTCAATTCACATCTTAAGAAAGCAGAACGCTTGGAAACGGTTTCTTCCAACAGGAACTTTTATTAAAAGGAACTGATAGCAGACGTGATAGACAGGATCTGGGGATTCCCTTACAATTCGATGTTTTAAAGTGTCCCTAAGCAGCCCCCCACCCCGCAGTTCTTCTGGGCAATTCAAACCGGCAGATTTCTAGGTGTTTACTCCAGGAGAGATAACATCAGTCCAGCTCCGTTGGCATGATCATTCAACATCTCTTCACACAGATACCAGATGCTGCATCTTTCCCCCCCTCCTCCTTTCTCTTGCTGGCCAGTAAGGAGAAGTTCAGAGGGGCATAGGATGAAAGGCAAATGGCTACATTGTTATGGTTAGCAGATCCGAAGCGAATCAACAAAAGGTTACTTTGTAGTGAATAGAGGAAGTGAAAGTAATAAAACCCACATGCATACCCTCCTCCCCCTTAGTAGTATGACAGGATCCAGGAGAGAGTGAGAATTGGTTTTATATCAGAGAAGATAGATAGAAATGAAATATAACTGGATTCTGACAGTCTGAGTAAAACACAATAGGATAAATTCAGGGATCATGCTGTGCCAAACAAACCACATTATGGATTAGTATGATATGGGGTTTTTTTCCTCATTTTTTTTAAAGATAAGCTACAATGGTCTGTTCAACAATAAAAAAATAAGCAGTTAAATATGCTGCAGACTATTATTTGGTTGAGAATCAGTTACAATAACATAATACTAACCTATAAGGTATGGCTTGTAAGATACAGGACCAAGTTCACACACCCTGCTAATCTATAATGTAGTTTGATTGGTTTTTAGTTGGCACACTGTCAAACCACATGTAATAGGCAAACCAAAGAACAAAAATTAATATATTAAGATTTTCTCTTTAATGCCAGAGAAAAATATGTAATCATGAACTGTGTTCTCTCTTCCCAGCTGGCCTTTTGACTTTATATCCTGACCAGGGGAAGCAGCAGTTTCAATCATTTAATAGAGAATTTGAAGAGAAGAATTCCTGACCATGAATCTGGTCCTGCCCTGCCCTTCTTCTGATAGCCAATTGAAGAAAATATTGGACAGGTCTGCTGTCTTCCAGATCTAAACTCTTCAACTTTTAAAAGGCTAAACCTGCAGCACAACAAATTTGCAGAATGGAGACAAAAAGAAAAGAATCCATGCTCCACCAGGAAGGAAGCAATGTTTCTCAACCTTGTCAAATTTAATTCAATTCTCAAATTCCCCAGCCAGCATGTGAACCAAAAATCCACACATCTTAAAGTTAATAAGGTTGAGAAACAACAGACTACAGACTGTATGTGTGCAGGTGAAAATATCACATGAAATATTCAGGAATATAGGAGGTGTGCAAGTAAAGTTTGGGCAGGTGAAAAAATGAAATGTAAAAGATTTGGAATTTGGAGATAAACCTTTATTGAGGGGGAAGAAGACCTTCCTTAGCCCACCCCCTAGTCTAGGTTTCCTCTATTGCTCTCTGCCAAGAAGCAGCTCATCTATCCTTAAAGCCTCGGTAATTATTAGCAAATCTGGAATGAAGCATTGGCATTAATTCCAAGCAGCTGGTCCGAGTGGGTCAATTGGATATTTACTTTCATTTGAAAGACATATTGGATTTGTTAGCTAGCAGAACAAACAAATATATGCTGAACAGATGAACCAAAGGGTAGGTGGAAAATGTGGTTCAGTATTTCAGCAGAAGTTTAATTAGACCTGGATGCAATACACGTCTCTATGTTGGAAAGGCAAGCACAAAGAAGCCGGCTAATATACTGGTTTATTCTGGAAGGCTTTCAAAGAGTTGAGTCATTCTCTCTTGTTGGGTTCTTCACTATGTTCAGTGCTGTTACAGAAACATCCATTGTCCTCTTTCAAAATTTCCTCCGTACTTTCCAGATGTGCTCATGTCTTGGATTATAGTTCCAAGAATTCCAAGCCAAAGTGTAATCCAGAACATCTGGAGGGTACAATACTAGATTGGAGAAAGTTAGGTGATACTAATCACTCATGGTATCCTTTGTGTTGTTCATATTTTTGTACACCTCCATAAATCATGCTTTCATGCATACAGTAAAGCTGAAAGCCTAATAGTTAATGAATCCAGAATGATTTGGTCCAGTTTATGAAATCTGGCACCCACTCTTGAAAACACCATCTTTCAAACCAACTTGTTTTGACAACTTCCATCCAATCTCCAATCTTGCCTTTCTGAAGATATGGACACAGATGCTGGACTGCTTAGGTCACTTAGGTCAGGATCTGGATGGAGAGACTTTTTTGGCATTCTGTAGTACCTTCCATCATGGCATTCATTTGGGCTGTCTGACGTTTGGGGACACTTAAAGGCCCACCCCCTGAGAGGTTAAGAGAATGAGGATGGGATGGAATGAGGGTGGGAGGGACGAGGTGGATCCCCAGGAAGGAGGGGCTGCAGTGCAGAAGAGTAAGAGGCAACTCAGCCCAGATATCAGGTGCGAGAGAAAGAGAGTGAAGACAATTCCTCCCTAATATTTCACAGAGTATATTGTAGGGCCCTCAGTCTGGCAAGATTTTGTCTATAGGTGTAAAACAATAAAGAACTCAGCTTGGAACAATTGCCAGGTGTCATTCTTGATTTGGAGCCCGACAGGAGGCTTAGAAGTAGTCCTCCTCAAAGGCAGCACCAACACTATGGAACAGTTTACTTCCTGAGAGTCATTTGGTCGTCATCCTTCTGGATTTTTATAAAATGACTAATTCTGACAGACATGTGGGCTGTCATTTTTTTCCAGAATGTTCGCCCTGATTATGTTTTTAAGTTAAAGATCTGCTGTAATGCAGAGGCGAAGGTGCTGGAATTGGAGGAGACAGACCCAAGTTCTAGTTCTCCCTTAGGCATGGAAACTGGCTGGGTGATTTTGGACCAGTCCCTTCCTCTCAGCCCAAATCAGCATGTGTCTCTGAGACAAGCTGGCTGAAAACCAAAACCCTTTTGTCACTTTGGTAGTTTTGCTACGTGAACTGCAGTGAGTGCAATTCAAAACAAGCAATCCTTGTAAATAAGCAGAACAAATGCTAGGAACAACAACATGTATTTTTAAGTTAATGGGATTTTTGTGGATTGGGGTGTGTGTGAAGAATGTTTAAATGTTTATGCTTGTTGCATGCCATTGTCATCAACTCCCTTGAGTCTCTGTGATTGGGTGGTATTCAAAGCTTTGTAATAAATACTTCTTCTCCCTGACATGGATTTTTTTAAAAACAAGAAATCCATCACTGCACTCTTATTGCTTTTATAAGAAATCAACTGCTACTAATGCAGCCACTATTACTATTATGCCCATCAGGTGACCCCCAATTTGGAGTTGGAAGTTATAAAAAAATAGTTAGTACAACCTTTACTGGCTCTAGGACAGTGAGTGCCCAAACTGCAACCCAAAACCCACTTATGCATTGTCGGGTGCCGGGTGGGTGTGGCCCATTGGCTGGGTGTGGCCCATTGGGTAGGTGTGTCCCATTGGGTGGATATGGCTGTGGTAGTAATGGCAGACTGGGTGGGACTAAAAAGTTCAGTCAATCAATTTCAACTTTGCAAGATCTTTTTTTTTCCCGCGAGAAATTGAAATTGACTGATTGATTGAACTTTTTTTTTTTTTTTTTTTGCACATGGCAGCGGAGGCCTAAAGTGAAAAGGTTTTATAAAACTCAGCTGAAGGCCTAGGACTGGGGCAACGGCGCACATGCCCACAGAGAGGCCTCTGAGTGCCGCCTCTGGCACCCGTGCCATAGGTTCGCCATCACTGCTCTAGGATTAGCCATGAAGCACCAACCAGGAGCCTTATGCTTTTTCTCCTTTGCAGATGGGTATTTCAGTGTTAATGTCAGTGTCCTCATCGCTGCCTTCATATGCATATCCTGGGAATAGTTTAAATGTGACCCACTGCAGCAGTGCTTACCAAGCTTGGCAACTATGCTGGCTGTGGAATGCTGAGAGATGATGTCCAGACATCTTAAAATTGCCACGGTTGAGAAACATTTCACTGCAGTGCCCTCCTTTTATGTTGGAGAGCAGTAATCTGTGGGTTACCCAAAGGCTTATTTAATAGTTTTTCATTGAGCAGGCTTTGGAGTATGTATCTGAGGCACTGATGGAGGGAAACACCAAGGAGTGGAAGATGCGTTTATGTCACATGTTATTTCATCAGTAGGACCAGTATCCTAACCCTGGTTTAGAGAATTCTTTAATTTAAAATATTTGCATCCTGCTTTTCTTTTTAAGAAGAGAGCAGGTTTTATAATGCAGCATTCAAAGCAATATATAACCCTTTCTTAGGCTTATACTACAATTTTTGTCAGTTTGCTGCTTCCAGATTTGATAGTAGAGTTCAAAGGGTCCAGTTTGGAGCTCACTAGAAAAATTATAAAATATTAAGACGTATAATACTTCTACTATGTAAACTGTGTTTTTTTTTAAAAAAAACATACAATATAGATCTGTGAAATATACTTGAAATTTTCATACCCCAGGAGCAGTTATTTAGATTTGCCTTGCTGCGTGTAAATAATATTTATAAGAAGATAAAGAAATGGTTTAATTGGGGTTTGCTGTTCAATTCAGTGTTGCAAGCTAAGTGATATTTTCCTCTCCTGGAAATTAACTCCCATGCATTGGTTAAACAATGCAATGCAATCTGTAGGGGAATAAAAAAAGTTAGGATGATTACCCCAATCTCAAGATCGAAGTCCAACCCACTTTAAGGTGTGTTCCACCTAAAAAAATAGGCAGAGCTTTGATAGCATCTTGACCCACAATTGCTCCTGCTGAAGTATGTGGAAAACCCACATATCTCCATACAGATGTGAGACTGTTGGAGGAATGGCATCTATCTTCCACTCTGAAACCAAGCCAGTTCCTACTATACATTTCTCTATCTGAGACACATTTCCCCCATCTAGTTCTGCTTTATGCAATGATGCAACTCCAAATCTCTCTAGTCCAGGGGTTCTCAGCCTTGGCAACTTTAAGACTTGTGGACTTCAACTCCCAGAATTCCTCAGCCAGCAAAGTTGAAGTCCACAAGTCTTAAAGTTGCCAAGGTTGAGAACCCCTGCTGTAGTCCATCCTCAGTGCTCACCAGCAGACTTGCTCTGTGGGTCAACTGATGTGCCTTATCAGGTCTGGAATCCTACCTATTCCCTTTTATCCTCCAAGAGCCAACCTGTCCAGACAGTGCTAAGAACACTACTCTGCCTGGACCAAATGAACAGGAGGCTTCCCATTTATGGTTTCTGAGATATCTCCCCACATTTTCAAAACCGACTGGGCATTATCAGTGTCTTTATCTCTTCTCTTCTGTCTGGAGGTGTGGAGAGAGGTTGGACAGAAAAAGCATACAGCTTTTCTTTGCTCTAATTACTTAAACCTTTCTGGCCACTAAGGAGATGCTATCTGGATCCAGCCAATAAGTTTGGAGACCAATTGGATCTCTTTGCTGTTTGTCAGAGCAGAAGTGATAGACCCCATCTTGGTTTGGTAACTGTGAGGTGGCCTCCCTCACAGAAAGAGACAGGGAAGCCAAGTGGAAGATGAATCCGAAATGAGTGGAGAGGGTAAAGCTTTGCAACCCCATGGAACTGAGGAATGAAGACCTGAAGAATCTGCTGGCTCAGCTCTTCTTGTCCTGGGTTTTCTTTGCTTGCATTTCATAGGTCTGTCTGCCAGTGGAGCCTTCAAGAAAAAGTGGCAGTCCTCCTATTCAGCCAGCTCACGTGCCCATAAGTGGGTGGCCATGCCTTAAGAGTCTCAGCTTACAAGTTGGATCCCAGCCTCTGTGAAAAAAAGAAATCTCAGTTTTCATTTGGAAAAATGAAGTTCAGAAATTGTTCCAATCCAAAGCAAGGCAAATGTGTACAAACGAATGCTTCCATTCCCACCCCACCCTATGCTACGATCTATTCATTTTTGTTTGTTTCATTCTAGGGTGGAGGCCGACTGACAGACTCATTCCCAGCAGGTGTCACTGTGGGTTGTGTTAAACAGCTCACACCAGGCTACATCATTTGCCTATATTTCTGTAATGACAGCCTGCCCGGCTCCAGCGCCTTTCATCTTGGGATCGTAAAACATGTTACAAGGTCTCATTAAGTCTCACTACACCCCATGTGAAGTAGGTGTTAAGTAGTATTAATTGCACCGTATTCAGAGCAAAACTGAAGCATGAAGCTGTCAAACAACTTGCCTCTAGTTACAGAGGAAGTTTGTGACAAAGCCATTATAAGAATCCAAGCCATGGCTCACCACTCCTTTAGAGCTTTTACCATTCCAATAACTGCCGGCACATCAAAGCGACAATCTAGTTATTTTTGGTGATGCATTGTTGTTTTCTTAAACCTCTTCTTCTGTCTAACATTGGGACATGCTACACCAGCTTAGCTCACCTTCCAACTTTCTACAGCAGAATTCGGCATCTGATCTATGCCTAGAGCAGTGTTTCTCAACCTTAGTAACTTTAAATTATGTGGACTTTGACTCCCAGAATTCTCCAGCCAGCCATTCTAGGAGTAGAAGTCCACACATCTTAAAGTTCCTAAGGTGGAGAAACATTGGCCTAAACTTTAAATTTTCTGCTTGTACAGTGTTCATTCTAGGATGCTCTGTGTCTGGAATTCTAGCCTAGTTGAAGGGTTCAAATTTAGTGAAGAGCTTCTTGATGAACTAAATGCTTAAGCAGAATCAAAGGCTTGGTATCACACATGACATTAAGTCAAAATGGGGTTCGCTTATTTATGGCTCAGCCTGGCATATGAAGGAAACTAGTTAAGCCAGTTAGTTAAACAAGTGAGTGCAATGTGTGACTAAAACTTTGATTTCACACACTGCTAAACCAAAATGTTAATCCCTGGTTTGTTGCATAATCCATCATGGTCTGGCTTGAATATACCTGGAAGTTGTAATTGGATGTGCTCATGCTAACTCCAAATCACACAGATCCAATGGTGGGATTCAGCAGAACTGGTAGCTAATTTTTTGTTGCCCAGGCCCAGAATGGACTTCCAGAAGTGGCATCCACACAGAGAACCAGTTGTTCACATATTTGAATCCCTTTGTTATAATTCAGCATCTTGTTTGAATCCAATTATCGTAAATGCCGGCGTATAAGGCGACTTCCGCGAGCGCTGAAATTGACGCCAAAGACGGGGGTCGTCTTATACGCCAGAAATACTGGTAGTTTCTGGCATATAAGACGACGTTCTAGGAATGTGGCCCAGCGATAAAGATGGGGGTCGTCTTATACGCCGGGTCGCCTTGTATGCTGGCATATACGGTACTCAAATCAGATCTTTATTATGGTCACAGACCAGCATAAGGAGAATGAGGGTACAGTCAATAAATCCAATTGCTGATTGCATACTAACACAGTATTGGTTTTTCATTACAAGCATTGGTTTGTCTCCTCTTCTGGTGTTGAAATGTCATATCTCTATGTTTACTTTCAATGAGCAGTTTCATTAAATGCTATCTTTGAAACTTGAAACTCTCATTAATTTTAACCATAGTTAATAGAAACAATATCTTTTTGTAAGTCACAGTAAGAGTTGCTTTGCTTCATTAAGATTACAGCTAAACTGTCGCATCTTTGGTGAGGTGATTTTTTTTAAGCGGTGGACATTTCCAATCTCTTTTTTGTGGCCATGTTAAAGACAACATAGAAGAAAAAATGGGCTGCATCAGGCAACGATTTTGTATCATGCAGCATTTTGGTCTCAACCTTCTGCGAAGCTAAGAAAAGAACATTAACCTGGACAAATTTACAAAAATATCTGGTATTCAGAAGGAGACAGCTACAAAAGCTGTTGGTGCTAGACCACCATTGCAATGATTAAGCACAAATAGCCATGTTTTCTCCAAATAATGCCTTCATTTCTCTTTGCCAACAATCCCTATATCTTCTCTAGTCAGTTTCATGGTTTAGGTAAGCACTATGTGAATAAATATTTCTTTTGCCTCTTAATGCAGTCAGAATCCTGGGATAACTCTGATTCTAGCATTTTAATAAAGATGATAAGAAGAAAAGATCCTTTTCTCTGTCTCTTTTTTTCCACAGAATGCATTACTTTATTTTATTTTATCATTCATCTTTATTTTATTTTATTCATCTTTATTTTATTTATTTGCGATCCATCTTGCTGTGTGGCAACTCTGGGTGGCTCAGTGAAACAGGAAAAATGATAAAAATGTAAAAAATAACAACAAAGGAATGATATAATCAAAATAAAAAGGGAAACTTTTATTTCACTTAGTGTCATCTTTTATATCACAGACATGATCTGATGTAACTGAGGTTTTTTTATGTATTAAAAAGTCTAGTTTATTGTTCCATTCAAATTTAGTCATTTGTTAATAACTAGCCAAACTGTTGATGGACTCAATGAATTTAAAGATGCTTAAAATTCCATTCTGTTTCAGTGACAACAAAGCCTCCAACATCTTCATTTGAACTTTAAAAACAGTTACCAAAGTTGAATTGCAAATGGCACTTATTTATTTACTGAATGTTGAACAAATTTTCTACAGTCATCAACTCCGAGGGAGTTTACCGTGACTGCAAAACAAACTTCACCCACAATATGGAAGAAGACAGAAGAAAATCAACAAAGGTGTCAGAAGCAAAATAAACAATTGTTGAAAAAAAAATTAAGAAAGAACCTCAAATACCCTGGAAACCAGAAACATATTTTATCTGGTGTCTAAATATAACTAAGACAACATCAGGTGAATGTATCTTGGGAGAAAGTTCCAGAATTTGGATAACAAAATAGAAGAAGCCTCTATTTCAGATTTTACCTTTTTTCCTTTTATATAACTATTTGAGCTTAGTCTTGACATCTGATCCAAACTATACTGACATGCCATATTTGACATGGGAATTATGTCAAATATAATTCCCACCCACCCCTATGATTGTCTGTAATCATAGGGAATGCATGCCGCAATGACATTATATGTGTCATAACTTCATTGCCCAGATGACACCAATTATGGAATTGGTGTCAGTTGCATGACTGACCTCATGATTAGATGTCAGTTCTTCCTTTCTGAAGAAACCCATGGAATACGTCCACTCTGTCAATTAATTCTATTGCTCTTCACAACAATGTTCAACCAACCTAGTGTTTGAAAGAACATAGAATCATGGGGTTGAAAGGGACTTTGGAAATCTTCTAGTTCAACCCTCTGCTCAAGGCAGGAGACCTTATATCATCCCGGTCAAATGGTTTTCCAGTCTAATTTTGAAAACTTCCAATGATAGAGTAGCACAACTTCTGGAGGCAAGCTGTTCCATTGATCAATTGTTCTTACTGTCAGGAAATTTCTCCTTACTTCTAGGTTGGATCTCCCTTTAACAAGCTTCCACCTGTTACTTTTTGTCCTGCCCTCTGGTGCTTTGGAGAATAAGTCAATCTCCTTTTCTCTGTGACAGCTCCTCAAGTACTGGAAGACAGCTATCATTTTGATCATTTTGATTACCTCAAATCAGTGCTCTTGAGGGGAGCAAAAAACCTTGGTTTCAAAAATTTGTTCAGCTCACTTGCAGACATATAGCTCCTCACAACAGCTGGTTTTAGGAGGGAAAGGCAGAATAGCAGTCTTTATCAATTCATTTAAACCACCATCATACAACATTCTAGATAAGATTAAAATGGAGAGGATGGTTTGTGGGTCAGTGTGTTGTGAGAAATGAAGCCACTGTTTTTGTACCGGTATGTATTTGAATCAGACCATTATCTTAGGCAATAATATGATTTATTTGTTGGAGGACTACAGTGTCATGTGAACTCAAGCATTGTATTTTGTTAACAAGGCTGGGTTTTGCCTGCCATGTGAACACCCCACTTTCAATCAATCAATAAAATACTATTTGGATTCGGTCAAAGATTTGGTTGAAATTTTAGCACAGTATGGACAGGTAAATAAGAATAAAACTAAAATATTATTGAAAAATATGTCTAGGAAGGGAAAAGGTTTTATAGCTGAAACAACCGGTTATGAAATAGTTAATAAGGTTAAGTATTTAGGAGTTTATATTACAATATCTAATGGAAAATTGTATAAGAATAATTATGAGCGCTTATGGGTTAAAGTTCAAAAAGATTTAAATGATTGGCAAAAGCTACAACTATCGTTATTGGGGAGAATTTCAGTAGTGAAGATGAATGTTCTACCAAAGTTTCTTTTTTTGTTTCAGATGATACCCATTTTAAAGAAGGATGCTAATTTGGATGAGTGGCAGAAGGGTATTAATAAATTTATTTGGGGCGGGAAGAAATCGAGGGTAAAGTTTAAGATTTTACAAGATGCTCGAGAAAGAGGTAGACTTAAAGCACCAAATTTGAAATTATATTATGATGCGGCCACTTTAACTTTAGTAAGTTGACTGGCTCAATTTAACAAATAGAGATATTCTTGTTCTTGAAGGGTGGGATTTATTATATGGTTGGCATACATATTTAATTTTTGATAAGAAAGTAGATTTGGTCTTTAAGTCACATATTTTAAGATATGCTTTACTTCGAGTTTGGAAAAAATATTATTATAAGTTAAATTATAAAATACCTATTTGGGGGATCCCTGGACAAGCAATCCAGGGGGTTTCTAAGGGGGTGAATTTTGACAACATTTCGTATAAAGAGTTACTTACTTGGTCGGGTACTGATTGGCAATTAAAGTCTTCTGATGTGTTAGGCAAGAAAACATTTTACAATCGTGGTTTCAATATTTGCAAATTGTGCAGAGATGGACTTTGGATAAGAAAGTGGGAATTACTTTA